TACGAATTTTACTATTTTTTTACTTAAAAATATAAATTTTTAAAAATTTTAAATTAGACTATAAACTTTTAATTTTTTAAAAACAAAGAATAAATTTTGTGTTTTTTCTATTTAAGAATTTATCGAATGGTAATCATAATATGGCAAATTGTCATTTTAATTGAAATAAAGCAAAGTTCACATCATTAAATAGAAAAATTAACAAAATTTATATCTTTAAATAAACAAATAAAATTTATTGCATTATTTAGAAATTCAAAATTTTCATATCCTTAATAAAAAAAATTACAAAATTTGCATGTAAATTTCACACCTCAACCTCAAAAGTTAAGGTATGACAAACGCTACATACCTATAAGGGTGATCCTATAAATATATAAGGTTAACAAACCTGTAAATTATTATAATAAATTATGCAATTTTCATCTTAAATTCATACTCATAATTATTCAGTTTGATAATTTCAAATTTATATATTCCAATTCAAATAACCAATAAATAAAAAGTCAATACTTGTAAAATTCCTTAAAGCCAAGTAACCCTCCAAGTCAAATTATAGTATGAATTTCAATTAATTTATTCTAACGATCTTTGAGACCCAATGCAATCCAATGTTTATTCTTTGACACCTAAAATGGGATGAAAGTTTTGAAAACGTGAATTAAACAACTTAGTAAGTAATATACCTATCTAACACCACTAAACATGTAATATTTTAAACTTAACAACTTTTAAAATAACCCCTAAAATCGCATTTCATTTCTTGAAAACAAAATCTTTAATTTTCGTTCTTTATGCTTATATAACGATTTACAATCCATGATACATAATTCACAATCCACAATTCACAATCCATAATCCACAATCTACGATATACAATACAAGATACATGATCCATTAATCTCGAGTTTATCACAATATCAACAATTTAATCTTGATAAGGGTTAACTACACAGTTAGATTAGAACACAAATCATTCCAAATCTTATGAACAATTTCATAAATGGTAATAATTAACAATTGAAAATAATCATTTTCCATATAGCCATAATCTCATCTCAAAACATTTTTCTTAAAACTACATGCTTAACAATTTCATAAATGGTAATAATTAACAATTGAAAATAATCATTTTCCATATAGCCATAATCTCATCTCAAAACATTTTTAAAACCACAGTGAGTCATAATCTCATCTTGCAACATTTCTTAAAACTACATGCTTAACTTGCAAATCATCTCATTCTATAATTAAACATTTTTCATTACAAGACAATTTTAGAATAAATAAATAATTTTATCCAATCAAGAAATGTAAATAATTAAATTACTCAAAACTCATTTAATGAAAATTAACTTTATTTAAATAAATAAATGAATAAACAACACTAACGGGTGTAACAAGAAGGGTCTGGCAAATTTTGAGCAATTTGAAAGGTATTCCATTTATGGATTCTTGGCAAAGGCTTTTAATGTAGATGGGAAAGTGGATAAGAAGGAAATCCTTGTATTGGATACTTATCAAGTTAATATGGAGTACTACAATCTATCATGTTTGGATGGAAAGGAACAAAAGAAAGCCATTAATGGCTCTTTAAAACAGAAGAAGCGGTATGTGAAGAAGTGCAATTTGATGTGAAACACAGGATTTTAGGATTTGCCAAGTTGAAATCCTCATCGCTGCCTGTGTCCATAGCAATCAATTGGGGGATTGAAGCTGTTGTGCAAAGATAATATAGATTAAATAGTTTCCGCATTTTACTCTCTATAGCAGCAACAAATTGCTGCTTGCTTGCGTATAGATAGTTATTGGATAAATAAATTCACCTTTTATCCAAAAAAAAAAAAAAAGAACCAACTAAATGCAATGCCCTGAACTACTCGAACACCCTAAACAAAAAGAAGCCAGCAGTGACTAATCACTTAACAAGTATAATAACTAAGCAATTACAACCATTGACTATAACCAATGATCTATTAGTCAAAGTAAAGGAAAGTTGATTTTTTTAAGATTTTAAATTTAAATCTTATGAATAGAGAAAAAAGATTTTATAAATCAAGTATCCTCTCTAACTGAATTTCTAAATTTATACTTTTAGTGCTTCATCCAACCACAATCAGTCAATTCAACATTTATCTTATCTTAATAAACTTATATATCTATAGCACCCATACATATCCACTAGACATCTTTATCTCTTTACAATATTCATTCATTTTTTCAACCGTTTTCCCAATATAATCACTCGGTTCTATTTCTTTCCAAATTTCCAATCACCCATTCACATGACATAACATTCTCTTGATCATCTCACCATAACAGCGACTAGGTACGTGTAACATTGCTTTGAATTTACAAAATTAAAATTTTGTATCTTAACTACAAAAAAAAAAAAAAAACCCATCAATCCCGATGCATCCACCATCCAAGATTAATCTTATTGCTACTTATAACCCTTGGCCAGACTCAAATTATATATATTAAACCTACCCGACTCACCTCCCTAGTATTCTCTTTCAATAACTTTTATAAATTACTGAAATATTTGAAAATAAAATCACCTTTCTACAAAGGATAATCACTTGAGACCAACGATTGAGTGACAAAATTCTCCCCTCTGCACGTTTATAAATAGGAGAGGTTGGTTTCTCGAACATGTTTTAGTCTTCACTAAGTTCTGGATTAATTCCACGATATAATCTTAGAACCAGACAATTCCCGTTGAAAGAAATTCGGCAACACCAAAGGATGGAAGCACGCCTTCAGCAATCTGAAGGAATGGGCGGCAGTTTCACAAAATGAAACCCACGTCCGATTTCTAGGTTTTAATTAGGAAAAAGTTTTTATTGCCAATTAGTCCTCACACTTTAGATTCTCATATACTTAAGTCTTTAAATTATCTTATTGTCACTTTAATATCTTGTAAAGACTTACAAGAAAGTTATATAAATCTTGAGTTTACATTATTGGAACCTTTTCTCTCCGTTTAGACCGTGGTATATTTCTTTTGAAGGCGGGAGCTAAAATAAAAATGTTTACCCTTCTTGTGTTGTTGTTAGACAATTATAATTGTTTTGATTAATTTTTTTAAAATAATTGATAACTAATAATTTATAAATAAAAATTAATAATTATTAATATTTATAATTTAAAATGTTTAACTTATTTAAATAAAATCAATAACTAATAACTATTTTTAATAAATCAAAACAAATGTTCCTAACGTGAGAGTAGGTCCCTCATTTTCTTTGAGTCACGTGTCGAGAAAACAAGTGCAAGGTACTTCGATGTGGACTAGGAGGCTGACTATTGTAGGTCGAGCTCACTGATTTGTAAAGCCCATCCGTTCGTGGGCCCAAGCTGTTCTGCGCTCTGGCCTTTCTTGAATTTAATAGTGATGATTTTATTAGTTCTTTTATTAAAAAACTATTAGACAATTTAAACTGCATACATAAAGAATAAACCTTTTTATTATATGTTTGAGTTAAGGGGAAAAAAATGGAAGGGAAGGGGGGAGAGGAAAATTTTTTATCAATCAAATTATAACATTTATCTTCCCCAGCCCATAAACGAAATAATTTGATGAGTGAAAAAATCTTCTCCTCCCTTCTCCTCTTCATTTTTCTCAATTCAAAGATACTTTTAATATTGGGGGTTTTCCCCATTCAATGATTTATATTTTGCAATTCAAATTGCAATAACTGATTATCTTCTTTTATTTGTTAATTTTTTTTTATATTAAACCTCTAGTATCTAGAAACCATATTAAATTCTGATTAATCTGAAGTTAAGTTAAATAAAACCTTATAAGGATTAATCCCTATTAATTTAATTTAATTTTTTAAGAAACCTTATTTCTTTTATGATAATAACTAGATGATATTTTCTTATAGATTATAAACACTAAATATTTTCATTTAAGTGTAACTCATGAATCGGTATACATTTACTTATTTGATGCCATAAATATTTATTGACAAGTATTATTGTGGGTATAGATTTACTCATTTAATATATAAATTATTTATTGTCAAAGGTCACTTGATAATTTCAATATGGAAGGAAGAAAATTGAGCAGAACACAATTGCAAGTATGATAGGATGCAAAGATATCAAGTGGAAACCGGCCGTATTCATCATCACACACAGAATTCCAATTCCAACTGACCTTTTCGGTTTCTGAATGTCTGGAGGCTTGCAAATAACTAGAATTGTGTCTCATTTCACTGATGCCTAGTAATGTGTCTCATTTCACTGATGCCTAGTAATGTGTCTCATTTCACTGTGGGGTGCATCTGAGATTTAAAAATGTTTACCAAATGTATAATTTATCAGAGACAAAAGGAAAAAACGTCAACTGAATTTTGATGTTAAAATTGGCCGCAAACTTTGATGTTAAAGAAATTGAAAGAGTAAAACGCAGAAGGGACATGAGGAAAACAGAAGGATCAGCCTGAAAAAAGAAAAAAAGGAAGAAGAAGAAGAAGAAGAGAACAAGACAATAGGCCGTTGGGCCCTTTTCATTTCGGCTCTTTTGTGTTAGAACACTTGGCTGGTATGGTCCAACTCAAAATCTGATGGTCCAATCAGGATAAAGAACATTTTAATTTGTAAGATTTGAATCACCATAACATTGTTGGCCGAAAAGAGAGAGAGGAAAAAGAAAAAAGAAGAAATAAAAGGGTTCATAACATTGACAAACCAGAATTTACATTTAGAAAAAAGAAAACTTAAAACAACATAACCCAATTTAATTTACTGCAAACACCCAAATCCTCTTATTACAGTTACAGCTTACTATGCTTTTATTTACTGCGAAAGCACACCAAATATGTGGCTATGGGCCTTTGGGCTGCGCTCTAAAAAGGTTAGGAGGCTTGGGGCAGACTGGGGGGATTAGTAAGCGCGTGAACAACTTCCCTCATCGTGGGCCTCTTGGTACTCTCTTCTACAACGCACATCATGGCTATTTTGAACATGTGGATGACACTTGGCAGTGGGTACCCACTCAGCCTAGAGTCTACGACTGCCAGCACGGATGCCGCGTCAGAAGGCTGAGGGAGCTCCGACGTCGTTTTCATCGCCCACCGGACAATATCCACTCCGTCTCCAAACTCCCCAACCGGTTTCCTCCCCGCTATAAGCTCCAGGAGCACCACTCCAAAACTGTACACGTCGCTCTTGTGGTCCACCTTCAGAGTGTAGGCGTACTCTGTGGAAAAATCAGACGGTTAAAGAGGTAACAATCAGAACAAATCAGATCAGGTACCAAAAATTAAAAAGGAACCTGGCGCAATGTAACCGTAGGAACCAGCAATGGTGGACATGCATTCAGAGGCACCGGCGTCCTGGAGGAACTTAGCGAGACCAAAATCTGCCACGTGGGCTTCACAATCGGAATCCAGAAGAATATTGTTCGATTTCACGTCCCTGTGAATAATCAACGGCGAGCAGTCATGGTGAAGGTAGCAGAGTCCCTTCGCCGCCTCCACGGCGATCTTGTACCTCGTCTCCCACTTCAAATGGCTGCCCTTTGATCCATGCAACAACTCCCCCAGGCTGCCGTTCGGCATGTACTCATAGAGTAAAAGATTCGCGTCCTTGTTCGAGACGTAACCGAGAAGCTTCACGATATTCCGGTGCCGGATTCGGCCAAGAGTCTGAATCTCGGCAGAGAAGCCATGGTCGTTCCGTCCACTGCCGCACCCAACCAATCGTTTGATTGCTACGTCGATGCCGTCCGGCATGGATCCCCGATACACAGTTCCAGCTCCGCCTTTTCCGATGATGTTCTCCTCCTTTAAACACTCCAGGACGTCCTCCGCCTTAAAATCCAACCGCTGAAATGCGGTTAACTTCCAGGCCAGGGATTTCTGGAGCCGCTTCTTCCTCATTCGATAAACAGTTACAATTATCAATAACAAAGCAGTTACAAGAGTAATAACTGTGATTATGAGTTTCGAGGCCGTGAACCGCTTCGCATGGTGACCTGAAGCTCCAGCTCTGTTAGCCAAAGATGCACAACTTTCTCGGTGCCATGGGCAAAGGTTGGGATTTCCAGCAAACGAGCTTGCGTTGAAGACTAAAAATTGACCACCGGTGGGGATTCCACCGGAGAAATCATTATCTGAAAGATCAAGAGTTGTGAGGCTCGTCATGTATCTAATTTCACCGGGAATTTCACCGCTAAGCAGGTTCCTTGACAAATTGAGGATGCTCAAATCAATCAGCTTAGAAAGCCCTTTCGGAATTTCTCCAGTAAGCCTGTTTCTACTCAAATCAATTGAATTAAGTGATGTGCATTGAGAAATTGAAGCAGGTATTTCACCGCTAATGTTGTTGTTGCTGATGTTCAGCTTCGAAAGTGACTTGATCTTGAAGATCTCCTCAGGAATTGCATCAGAAAATCTGTTGGCATCGAGAAACAAGGTCTGTAAATTAGCCAAATTACCTATCGCCGGAGGGATTGTTCCACTGATCAGATTACCGGACATTTTCAGCAGGCCAAGCTTAGCACCTGACATCTCTGAAGGCAGTTCACCGGTGAACAAATTATCATCTAACTCCATTTGTGTTACCAGCGGCAAGTTGAAAATCCCGGTGGGGATCGTTCCATTGAGGAAGTTTCTCGTGATTCGAACCTTGGTAAGAGACTTGCACTCACCGATTTCCTCTGGAAGTGGCCCGAAGAAGAAATTTTTCATGAGAATCAACGTATCCAACTTTCCTCCTTTGCACAAATGCCGAGGGACGAATCCAGTAAGGTGATTGAAAGAAACGTCGAGCTTCTGAAGCTTCCCGTTGCTGCCCAGATTCTCCGGCAGTTCGAACGTGAAGTTGTTTTCCCACACCTGAAGAACCTCGAGGTAAGGAAAATCACCGACGAACGGCGGGATTCGGCCGTGAAAGTTGTTCTTGAAGAGATTGATTAGCGTAATGTTCTGCAGCGCGGAGAAACTTGCTGGAATCTCTCCGGTGAGCTCGTTTATAGAAACATCAAGTGATTCCAAGCTAATCAGACCGGAGAGTTCCGGGGGAAGTAAACCGGTGAGATGATTCATTTGAAGGAACAATGTATCCAAGTGCTTCAAATTGGCCAAACTCACCGGAATCTCGCCTGTGAGGTTGCAGCTTCCCATATCTAGAACCCGCAGTTTACTCAACGTACCAAACTCCGGCGGAACTTCTCCGACGTAGGAGTTATAATATCCAACGTACATCTCTTCAAGATTCTTCAAGCGAGCCAAAAACGCAGGCGATTTTCCAGTGAGACCGATGCCGTTCAGACCCAAGTACACCAAGCTCTGAATCTCAGTGTACCTTTCCGGTATTTCACCGGTGAAATAGTTGCCTCCAAAAGAGAGATGCCGGAGATTCTTCAGGTCCACGATCTCAATCGGCAGCGGCCCTGTGAAGTTATTGTTGTAAGTATCAAGAACCTCCAACTGACTCATGCCCCGAAAAATTTCCCCAGGGAAATTCCCACTGAAAGCATTGTTGGAGATGTTGAAAAGCCTCAGAGATGCCAAATTCCCCACCTCCACCGGAATCATCCCGGTAAGATTATCAGCCGCAATCGTCAGGTTCACAAGCTTATCCAAAAGCCCAATCTCCTGAGGAATCACACCAAACAAAGGAACAAACGACACATTCAGAGAAATAACCCGGTACTCTTCATCACATCTAACACCAGAGAAATCACAATGCGCCGAAGGAGGCTCCGAATCCTCCCAATCTTCTAGTCCCGACCCTTTCGGTCCAGTCATGGAACTCTTGAGCTTCAACAGGACCTCCAAATCACTGTATCCATTGCAGGAACAGAACAATAGAAGAATCAGAAAAAAGCAAGGAAGAAAAGGGCCGGAAAAGCTTCCCATCCTGTTCTCCACCCCTAGAGAGAGAGAGAAACAAGAGTTGTAGTACCCAAAGGTCGCGTTAAGTCTATGCTGTTCGATCAATGTAAAGCCTCGATGCTTTATTAAGTAGAGTTGGACAGTGTCTTGGTAATGGGAATCGTAATCTTCAAAATTTTGAATAAACAAACACCGGAAACTGCAAAAGTCAGAGAGAAAGGATCGCATGAAATTATATCCACCTTCTAGATTTGACAGTAGAAGACGGAGACTTAACGGCGTTGAGTATTTTCATTTGAAGGCGTTGAGTATTTTCATTTGAGTCTGAAAAAATATAATTTGGTGGAGGTTTAAAAAACAAAATATTTTTTTATCTAAATTATATAATAAGATATAATTATTTTTTTTATCTTATTTTATATACATATCATACTATTTAAATTCAAAATTTTTTATTTTCAATAAAAAAAGATAACTACTGATCTATTTAAGTCATTAACAACAAAATATTATTTTGTCACTTAGATTTTTTTATTCATAAAAATTAAAAATTAGTCTTAAATCTATGGTTATTTGTAATTATAAATATATATAATTTTAACATCACACTATGTATAACTACTGGTGGACTAAACATTAATCAAAAAAATTTTTACAATTAAAATTTTTTAAATTATAAAATATAAAATTTTAAATAAAAAAACTAAAGCCTTTGATGCCTTAAATATTTTTTAGTTAAATTTATTTTATTTTATCATTTAATATAATAAATAACAAATTTTTAAAGAAAAATAAATAATTGTACAATCTGCTCTGTTTTGACGGCCATTACTGGCGGGTTGAAAGACATGACCGTACGAATGATATTGTTCTGTCGTCTGCTCCACTGTCAGATCCCTTCAGTTCAAAGTTACTTTTTTTTTTTTTAACCCGAGAAATAATCTTAACAAACGATGTCGTTTCATTGCTAAACTACGTGGTTGTGAGAGTTTGGTAAATCGTTTTAACTGGGTGAAAAGCATTTTGAGTCCATTAAAAAATCAATTTGGACACTTTCGTTTCTGTTTAGGGGGGGAACTGACGGACTCAGGGAATCGGGCTTAAGGTGGGGGGATAACTGGGCCCATATTAAAGGCTGGTTGTGTCCTTTCCCAAAGAAACAACTTTCTCCTCTGACTTCTGCTGTGCTGTGAACCAAAAGTCCACTCTTTTTGTTCTTTTCTCCTATCAAGAAGAGTCAAGACCTTGCAGATGTGGGGCCCTAGTCAAATAAACTAAAGCTTATATTACAGTCTACACCTTTTTCTTTTATTAATTTAATTAAATATACTTCAAATTTTTTAATTTTTTGGTTAAAATTACAAAATCTCTGGCTTGTTTGCTTGATGTGCAAGAACAAAGTGACTTTCGAGATTTTTTTCCTTTTTTTAATGTAGATATGGAGTTTGTTCCTACGAAGATTGCTGAAACAGTGCCATTATGGAAGGAAGATGGGCATTTATTCTTTTGCCCACCAAGATGGCAACCCGCTGTTAATGGAAGCATAAATTCGAATTCCCTAACAAAAAAATAAAGGCCATGGTGGGGAACTTCAAAGGTTGGGAGGAATCTTAAGTAGTGATTTAGAGAATAAAGAAGTTAGTATCTGCCTTTACGGCCATCAAAAAACCTCAATTTTGAGTGAGTTTATGCACATATATATATATATATATATTAAAGAAGAGGATAAGCCATAAGTACCACTTATAGTGCTTTGTATTGTATCACTTTCCCTTAGAATTTCAACTCCAATCACTCACTAATTATCTACTGGCTCATAACCCAGTGGTAATAGTGTTCTAGAAGACTAGAAGTCGGAAGATCAATTTAATTTGTTCATGCAAAGTATTCACTTGCTACAAAAATAGTACTTTAGAAAAGTAGTATTACTAGTTATTTAGAGAATGTAAGTGTTTACTTTCAAAAGTTATGTTTTTATATTTTTATTGGTATTTTGAAATCCAAATGGCTAAATATAAATTATTAGGTTAAAAGCATTTAATTTTGTGAAGAGTAAAATAAATTGTTATCTTAAAATTTAAATATAAGTAATGTGTGTACAAAAAATATCACCATTTATCCAATAACTTATAATATTTAGTAAAAATAATATTTTAATCTGCTTCAAATTAAAAGTTAATTTTTAATTAAAAATTTATTATAAATTAATTGTAAATTTTTTATTGAAAATTTGTTGCAAATTAACTTTCATTTCTCACTTGTTAAAACACACAAATATTTTTTAAAAAGATGGTATAAATAAAAACATAAATTATTTTAAAAAATTTTAATTAAAAAATAATTATTTAATAACACTCAAAATTCTAATAAAAGAAATGCTACTTATATTGGACAGACTGTAATTGCACTGAGTGCCAACTTCCTAAAAAAAAAATTGGAAAAGAAATGATGGTAGGCTTGACCAATGAGAGGTCGAGTGCAGCCCACTCCTATATAAAGTGCACCTTTCTGAATTTTACTTAACCACGTCGCTTGACTTGGAAATATTTATTTTTAATTTTTTAATTTAGTAAATTTATAAGTTTTAATTATTTATTTTATATTAT